CTTCACAAAGAACTGTGGGAAAATAAGCTCAAATCTTGCATTATTAATTTCCACGAACTAAAAAAAAAAAAGACTTCCGGTTGTAAATGAATCGTTGAAATTGATCGAGGCAATAGGCACAGGTTGGTGCTAATCCTAGATGATGACAGCCATTTCAGAAGCGCTCTAAAGACATCGAGTACAAGGACTAACTCACTTCGGAGCAAACAAAAGTCTTAAGAAGGCAGTAAAAAGAAAAGAAAAAAATCACAAAGTCACCGTTCCTATAAATATTCCATTTTCAAAGAAGGAAAATCAAAGTATTCCCGAAACAATTACAAGAAGTACACACGTTTGAAGAATTAAAATACATCTTAGTCTGTAAAGAGCATGTAGGTATATTTAATACACAATGAACGCCATCTTCAAATGAGATGCAGATCAGCTTTGGTAGGAAGAGCAGAGGAGAGAGAGACGAAGTCTTCAATCCACAGACACACTACAGTTGATCTAGACCGTAACTTACCAGATCGACAACACTGGGGTGTCAAAGCTCACTCTGTCCGGGGCTGTGTTCATGCCACCTTACGAGAGGCTTTCCCTGACCCCTTCGAAGAGTTGCACAGTATTTTTTATTGATCAAGGCACTTAGCAGTGGGGCTACTACACACTCAGCTCCTCCCCCACCAGAACGCAGGCTCCACGCAGGGAAGCTGGCTGGCTGTGCTGTATCCCCAGGGTCCAGAACACTGAGTAGCAAGCAGCAGGCACACGGATAACTTTCCTGGGAAAGAACAGACCCATGCTAGCTCTGCAGTTCAAAATACTAGGTGCAGTCAAGCATCCTTCCATCTATGTGGATATAAAATTCCAGAAGAGTTATTTAAGAGTGTAACTTTCAACAAAGGTGAAAGGTGTAGGACTTGATCATGAATACTGATAAGAAATCATACTAAGAGGCAAATATTACTGAGGAAATAATACACAAACGGTCAGGAGGCCAGGTTCAAACCCTGACTCTACAATCTACCATAGAATCATCCCTAATTTCTTTCTGCCTCAGTTTCTCCTTAGGTAAAATGGGGATAAAAACGGTACCAGCAGCCCTGTTGAGGATTAAATAAGAATGTACACAGTGTTTACAGATATGAAACCAGGTGAAAAATTGGGGGGAAACTTCTGTCCTTATTTCTTCCCACAATTCCAAACTATGAAGAGGCAACGGTAACAAGGAAGGGAAATTTCATTTTTATTTGAAAAATATGGGGATTCTTGGGTGGCTCAGTTGGTTGGGCATCTGCCTTGGACTCAGGTCATGATCGCAGGGTCCTGGGATCAAGCCCTGCATCGGGCTTCCTGCTCAGCAAGGAGTCTGCTTCTCCCTCTGGTCCTCCCCCTGCTTGTTCTCTCTCTGACAGATAAACAAATAAAATCTTTTAAAAAAAGAAAAAAAATGGACATTACAGTGCTCCCTCTTTTTAAAAGATTATTTTTCCCACAGGAAAACAGTGAGATGATCTGATGTCTGTGGTTATACGTGCCTTTCAAGCAAAATACAAAAATTATACTGGAAGTGAAAGTTGAAAGGGGCCTGGGAACAGCAAAGTCAGGCTGAGACCCCTGAAACCTGGGTCATCCATGCTTGTCTCTGCAGCTGGACTTCAGGGAGAACTGGCCCCTTCAGCATAAGGTTGCTCCCGGGGCACTGGATTCCACTTGACGGTGGTCCACATAGCACAGCCATTGCCAGTGCTGTGCTATGGGCTCCCACCAGCTGTTGCCTTTGGCTCTATAATCACTGGGGGTTCTGTCTTAAGAGAACACCCATACAGCTCATCAGAAGGTGTGCAGGCTTAGACCCAAGCAGGCATCCATTCAGCCATCTGAATCCAAATGCTGTGGGAAGGTTTCTCAAAAGTGGCTTCTGTATCTGTCCCCTGTACAGGAACTGGCTTGATATGGACAAGCTCATGACTGCAAAGGGCAGCAAGGGATGACGATATGATTAACAGACAGCGAGGCTCCGAAAAACTGGCTCGTTCTAGATCCTGGCACTTATCTAGTTCCTCATGTTGATCAGAAGGGGCCTCTGGATTCAGAACATGAGCCCCTAAGTTACAATATGGTTAGCTGTAAATCCCGAATTTGTTCCTACATCTGTTCTTGTTAGGACAGTGAGGGACTGGGGGCAGGTTTCACAGGGTCCAGCTTCCAGCCTCTTGTCAAGATGAGGAGGGAGAAATGAGAGACATTCTAGGGATTGCTACCACAACAGAGATGGCTTCTGTCACGTACTGCAGCCAGTAAAGCTAAGAGAAACAGCTGGAGTGCCAAGGAGCATCAGCAGTTGCCTTCGGGAATGATTAACTGGGGCTAACGGCAGCGGCCAAACCACTTCAGCACCTGTCAGCAGCTCCAGGACACTGATGTCAGCCCAGGGGTGGCTGGCTCAAAGACTCATGCCACACATTTGCAACAGCACATTTGTAATTCCAAACGATGAAAATAAGTAGTACATGGGGGAAATAAATAGAAAGTTGAAACACATGAATAAATTATGCTTAAAACCTCATAACAGAGTGTCCGTCCTCTGAAGCAGAGAACACCAAGTGATGGTTTCCACATAGGAGAGAATTGCTAGAATGGAAAGAATTCCTCCAAATGCCTAGTTCATGAAAATCTATACAATCTAGGGGGGAAAGCAAAATACAGGTCAAAATGGGCTCAAATAAGGACTCAAACCCTGGCATAAGCCCGATGCCACAGAGTGAAATGAGCCACCTAGGTTAAGAAGATGAAGCAATTTCATAACAGGAATCGATTTTCATCTTCCATTGCCTAGAATCTGGGTCTCCCTGAGCCAGTGAGCACCACCACAGGACTACAGGAAGGAAAGGAAAATGAAGACTTACAGAACAGCGTACTATACGCTAGCAAATTCTACAGCTGTGGTTTCCTACCTGTAACCACTTAGTGCCTAAGACAAAGTTTCGTCTGGAGTCTGCCGGCCTGGGCCCCTCCCTTTACAGCTATGGGGGCTCAGGAAAGTGCTGGTTTCACTGTGCCTTAGGTTCCCCATCTGAGGAAAAGGAGCTACCATCCAATGAGGTAGTGGCTGGGGTGCGGACTGATTTAAGAGAACAGGCTAACCAACCTAAAGCTAAACCTTACAGAAATGCCCGGCATACAGCAAGCACTCCATATGTGTTGGTTCTTTCTGACTTTCCTCATAGCCCTCTTGTGAAGAAAATGAAACCCTGTAATTAGGTAACAGGGTCTTCAATTTAGAGAGGCGGCAGTTTTGCAAAGACAAGCAATTAACTTACACAGAGTAACAGAAAGCGACAGAGGTACAAAAGCCATTCTTTTCCCACGCTACAATGTTGGCTGTGTTCTGTATGCCGTTACTAGCCAAGGCCCACCACAAAATAAAGTCACATACCTTCCAGTGAGTGACACTTCCTTAAGGGATTCAGATTGTGCTTAAAGGAAATCAGAGTGTGCTAATCTTGACATTTCATCTCAACTAAAAATTACTTATTGTCTTTGGAGCTACACAATAGTAAAGAACCCTGCCGACGGACCATAAAAGCAACCAGCCAGCTTCTAGGGAGTTCGGTAGCCCCAAACCTTTCAAAACCAAGTCTTGAGTGAATTCTGGGGAAGAGGAAAGGGACAGGAAGAGAAAAGGGAGGGGAGGGGTTTGGAGAAGGAAAAGACCCAAAAAAAAAGGAAAGACCCCAAAAAAAAAAAAACCCATGCACATGCATTTTGCCCCCCAGGCATCTGCTGTGACTTACTAAGCTGAGGGCAATAGCGTCCATCTTAATGAATGAGCTGGCCTAGTTCCAGGACACACACAGCTCTGACATACGGGGGCTCAAGGCCTGCAGGGCCCTTTTTGCCCCTCTGGGAGACATCTGACAAGTCACAGGTCAGTCTTAAAGAACCAGAAGCAAGATGTCATCGAGCAGATAAAACGGGCTTGAGTTTTTGTTCCCTTCTTTCTTTCACGCATCAAATTTTAAGAGGTTGTGTTTAATACAAGACATCAACCCAGGAGATCAGAAAACCTGATTTCCGGCCTGAGACCAGCCAGGCATCCCCTCTCCGGGCGCCGGCCCCAGTGTCGTCCCTCCCTCTGAGCCGCGGGGCTCAGAGCGGGTACCCGGGATGCCCCGGGCCACTTGCCATCCTCTCTTCCACCCTTTCAACAGTTGCTAGGACTCCGGAGGGGCGGCTCTGGCCCCAGGAACAGGCTGTCCGCTCTCTTCTCCACTCACCACCCTCCCCACGGCTGCTACGAGAGGAGGGCGCGCAGCGGCGTGGGTGCGAGCGGCGGGAAGCGGCCACCGCACGACACCCCCCGGGGCCGGCTCCCGCAGGAGCACACGCAGAGCCGCGGCTGCTGGCGGCGAGGCCCGGGCGGCCCCGCACCTCGGCCCCGGGGCTCGCCGTTCCCACGGCCCCGCCGCCCCCGCGACCCCGGGCGACCCGGACGCCCGCCCGCCGCCGCCCACTCACCGCCGCACTCGACCGAGTACTGGTCTCCCCAGTCCCCGGACTGCGGGCTGCAGCCGCCGCCTGCGGGGGCCTCCTGCTGCTGCCGGTGCTGCAGCTCCTGCTTGAGCAAGGACAGCGGCGAGTAGTGCTCCGTGGCCAGGGTGCCCGGGCACGGCCCGGCGGACAGGACCCCCAGCAGCAGCAGCACCAGGACGCGCCGGGCGGCGTCTGCGGCGGCCACAGCGCCGCCCCAGCAGCAGTAGCAGCAGCAGCAGCCGGCAGGTGCCATCTTTCCTCAAGGCGCATGTGCGGCGGCCCTCGCCGCACGCTGCGGCCTCCCAGCCTTAACCCGCAGTGGGCAGGTGGGCCGTGGCAAGGGGGCGAGAAGGGGTGTGGCGTTGCCTGCTGGGAGTTGTAGTCTCAGCTCGGCCAGCCGCGAGCCCCCTTTCCGCGGCTGAGACTACGAATCCCAGAAAGCACCGCACGGGACAGGCTTTCCGGTTCGGTTTCTAACGTCTTCCCCCACCGCCACTGAATCGGAAGTTCTCGGCTGCAGTTGCGTGGAAATGAGCACCGGTGGGCGGAGTGGGCTACGGCCCGGCAAGGGAAGCACAGAAGGCGGGGCAGCGGGCGAGGGGAGCGCGGAGGGGGTTGCAGCAACTCCTGCAGCTGCCTCGGCCTCCTGCCCGTACAGGTGCATCGAATGCAACCAAGAGGCCAGGGAGTTGTACCGAGACTATAACCACGGAGTGCTGAAGATAACCATCTGCGTGAGTTGTCAGGCGTGGGGTGTCCTTGGGAAGAACTGGCGCGGATTTGGGGACCGTGAGGGGCCGTGGGATCTGTATATCAGGGGCAGTAAAAACCGACGACTTTCAGAGTCCCCTAGTATAGCCCTCAGTTCGGAACTCGACATTCCCGTCCGGGATCCGTGGAGCGTTTGCGTGGTCACCTGTTGTGTGAGAGAACTCCCCCCCGAAAACGGCTTTCTCGTGCCCGCGGTGTTTGCTGGTGAGACCCAGCGTGGGGAAGGGATCCGCGAACGCAGATGGCTGTAGGCGTCGTGCGGAGAAACTTAAAGATTGGATTAGGTTGACGTTCGAGTTCACGCCCAGACTCTTCCTTCTTAGCCGTTCTCCCTTTCATAGATGAATGTTAACCACCCGTGCGGTCCACACCCGTAGTCAATGTCCCCGGTTTCATCCTTTGTGGGTATTGACCGTAAGGTGTGTGTTGGGTGCAGAGCACCAAGCTTGACCTTGGTGGTAACCAAAACAAAAATGATGAAGTACAAATTTTGCTTTCAAGGTGTTCATAGTCTGTAGAGGATGGTTGAAATGTTTCAAGGGTCACAAAATTGGAGGTTCTTTTCGAGGTATTAGACGAGAACCCGCCACATAATATGCAGTCCATGTGTTTTTGTCCCATTTCTGTTCTCCTGATGATTTTCTAATAATAATCCTCATTAGAAAAACATGGTCTGTAGTAATACAGAAGAGAGTAGACAAAGTGTGAATGTGTACCTGTGTCATCTGTTGTCCACTGACATAATCACTTTTCCTCTCTCAAGTGGTTTCCCTCCCTTGGAAAGATCTCCACCCGGTTAAATCCAACATACCGTCTGATCTGTCTCCTCACCCTTTCGGCTGTACTTCAACTGAGGAAAAATCACCTAAATTCATGACCACTAACCTCGTGTAGCCCTTGATGCCATCTGGCCATCACAGTACATTTCACTAATCCTCTCACATTCCTGCTCTGATGAACCATCCTCACAAGCCTTCTCTCAGGTTTCCCATGTATGCTTCCCTGTTTTGCTAAATAGAAGAGAGAGAGAGAGAGAACTTGCACACGCTTTGCAACCACATAAACCTAGTATTTGCACCCGTTATTCATATGCTCTTTCTTCCCTCCTGTTAGAATGGATGAACCGTCCGTACACTTGTCTCCAACCAGCGTGCTCTTGTGCCCTTGATCCATCCGTCTTCTTCCATTTACTTAGGGACATCTCTGCCACAGTACTCTTCTGCTCTCCGCTGGATCCTTCCCACCAATGTATGTACTAGACTTTTTTAAAGAAACACACAGGCACGGTCCCTCACTTCCTCCTTTGGCCCCTCCTCTTTTCCCCTTCCCTTTGACAGCAATCGTCCTTTAAGAGATATTTGTACTTGCTATCTTCATTTCCTTTCCTACTTTCTCTTGAATCGACTTCAGACACACTTTCCTCCACCACCATGACACCAGAAACTGTTCTTAAGATCACGATTGCTGGCTTCTACTTCACTAAATCCCATTATCCTTTCTCACACTGCTGTGTGCAGTTGCCAGGACACCAGACTCTTCTAGTTTTCTTATCTTTTTTTTTTTTTTTAAGATTTTATTTATTTACTTGACAGACAAAGATCACAGGCAGGCAGAGAGGCAGGCAGAGAGAGGAGGGGGAAGCAGGCTCCCCACTGAGCAGGGAGCCCGGTGTAGTGCTTGATCCCAGGACCCCGAGACCACGACCCAAGCCAAAGGCAGAGGCCTCAACTCACTGAGCCACCCAGGCGCCCCTAGTTGTCTTATCTTACTGGCTATTCTTCTCAGTCTCATTTCTGGTTCTTCCTCACCTGCCTTACCTTTTAACCATGAAGTATCCTAAGGCTCAGATCTTGGGCCTCTACCTCTCTACACACTCCTTTGAAGAACTCCTGCTGGCTCATGGCTTTAAATTCCATCTAAACTTTGACAATTCCCAGATTTAAACCTCCAGCCTAAATCTCTTCCTTGAACTCCACAATGTCCCCGCATGTCCAACTACCTACTTGATTTCTCCAAATGGATTTTTGTAATTGCGTCAGACTTTCAGTTAATAGCAATTCAACCATTTTAGTTCCTAAGGCCAAAAAGCCTTGTACTCAGTCTTGATTTCTTTCTCCCACATTCCTCATTCGTTTGCTTGGCAGAGCCTGTGTTAGTCTTCGGATTATGTCTTCAGATTATGTTTAGAATCCCCTGCTTTTGACCACCTCTACAACCGTGACCCCTGCTGTCATCATGTCTCACTTGGGTGATTGTCCTAACACTTCCCTTACTCTCCTGCAGCTCCATTGCTTCCTGAATGTTCTTAAACCAGACAGGTTGCTTCCTCAGGGCCTCTGCACTCTGCGCGGAGCGCTGTTTGGTCAGGTGTCTGACATAACTACCTCCTTCAATTATTTCTATTTTTAACGTCTCAGAGAGGCCTCGTCTGACCACCTTGTTATAAAATGTGATTCTTCCTCCCAACTCAGGTATGCGTATCAACTCTCCCTGCTTTATCTTTCCCATAGCACCTGTCATCTTTGAATATTCTATACAACTGACTTATTTATTTATTGCCTACTTTGAATATTCTATACAGTTGACTTATTTGTCATTTATTGCCTATCTCCTCCCACTGAAATATAAGCTACACAAGGACAGAGAGTATGTGAGTATGTATAATTTCTTCATTAATACAGTTGGCACACCCAGGACAGTACCTGACACATAGTAAGTACACAATAAAGATCTGCTGAATGCATGAACCATTTCTAGGTATTTCGATGCTCATATCTTTGGCCATTGTGGTGGCCCTGTGAGTTGTATGGCATCTAAATTTAATGACTTCTGTACTGGCCCAGTTAAATGATCTGTCCTAAAGATGACAACCACATAACTGTGAATACAGTCTTTCATCCAGTAAAGCTGTAACTGTCTCTGCAGTTAGTGATCTTTAATGATACAAATTAATCTTTATCTTTTTTTAAATTATTAGCATTAAACTAACAAAATCCTTTTCCTAATCACCAGTGCTGGCTTCTCTAGAATTATATTTGGAATATTGAGTGATGATACAGTACATTATTGTACTCAGTCATTCCCTGATGACTTAGAGTGCGTAATATCCTCATCTTTGTCATAGTAATGCCCATAGTGGTATTATTTAGGAAAAGTCATTTAGTTGATGCTGAACTCTGAAAATTAAATTGTAAAATAATTCATTTTTTAAAGGCTCTCTTGAGTTGTGAGAGTAAAAAGTTTTTAGACATCAGGCTATTTGTTCTGGAAAAAAATGGCCCAAGTTTCTATAAGCTGGTAACTCATACACACTTTGGTCTCTTAGCTGCTTTCTTTGGAGCCAGCAGCATACTCATCCTGATCTCCTCCCTGTGTTTCTCTTTCTCTTTGTTCTTCCTATTTTTCCACTGCCAGGCCTCCCCACTTGCCCCTCTGGGTTTCCCTCATTCCCCTCCATCTAATAGAAGTGTGTCCCTTGCTTTTAACCATTCCCTCTCCCTCAGCTGTTCATAGTTTATTATAATTATGTTTAAAGGTCTAGTACTTTTGATCTCCTGTAGTACCTGGACTCTTACCTGTGCTCAGATATTTGATAAGTTCATGATGGTAACAAAACCAGACTCCTTCGAGATCCTTCTAAATTTCGAGTCTGTTCAGTACTACACTATTGAGCTGCCACACTTAGATGCTGGGTGCAGAGATGAGTAGGACACTGTCCTGCCCTCGAGGAACTTAAAGCCTAGGGGTTCCGCTTTCAAGATATGTATTTGCCGGGGCACCTGGGTGGCTCAGTCAGTTAAGCCTCTGCCTTCGGGTCATGCTCAGGTCATGATCCCAGACTCCTTCTTGCTCAGCGGGGAGCGTGCTTCTCCCTTGCCTGCTTCTCCCTCTGCCTGCTGTTCCCTCTTCTTGTGCACACTCTTGCGCGTGCGCTGTCTCTCTGTCTCTCTGACAAATAAATAAATAAAATATTTTTTTTTAAAAAGATACATGTTTGCTTGTTGTGGCACTGAAATGAAACAGATTTGAGAATGAGTGGGGAAGGGCATGGCCCCGGAGATGATGGGGAGGAAGAAGCAGCCAAAATATTCACAAAATGTTGGCCAGTGTATATTTTAAAAGAGATGTGATTCACTAGAGAACTGGAGAGCATAGCGTCAGAGAGTCATTCATACCCATGGTGAGAGAGAGATGGTGGAAGTGTTTGAGTTTCTGGGGTGTGCACGGTCCCATGCTGTAGGGATTTCTTAGAGGACAACTTTCTGTTTCAGGGTATTTGTCTAGTAAGTAGTAAATGGAATGGAACAGTTTTTTTCAAAATCAGAAAACATATCTAAATGTAGCCGTCAGCCACTCAGATGTTTTACAACATTTGTTTGTGTGCGTGTGGTTTCCCAGATCCTTACATTCAAGGTGAAGGAAGCACCCAAGGGAAAAGCAAGTAATAGGAAGTGAACAAGGAAAAATGAGGCTGAAGCTGATAGGGAGGGAACCAGCAGACCCTAATGAATTTTCGATGTTTATGAAATATTGAGAAGGTGAGGAAGGGAAGGCGTAGAACAGAGCATAGCACGTGAGGCCAGAAGCTGCTCCTTCTGTTTGCGCTCGTGTCCCTGTGTTCATTCCACTGAAACCCTTGCGGTAGCAGGCTTTTTCGTCTGCCTTTTCTGAACTGTAAGGTCCTGGAGGATAGAGACTTAGTCTCAAAGTGAATATCCGGCACCTTGGAGGTGCCTGGTCCATAGAAAAGACAAAGTAAAGCCAGCTGTTCTAATGAATGTTGTAGCCACTCCAAACACATTGGTCCCGCCATGTCTGCCGATGCTGGTTTCTGCCTACCTCCTTCTAAAAATTGTCTAAATCCTGGCATAGGCTTGCAGTGTCTGAAGATGGGTTTTAGGGAACCTTTAAAGGACAGAGAAAAGACCCTTGACCCGCCAGCAGTTTCATTTTACAATGAAGCAACCTCACAGCAGGTGTTACAGTGTGGTTTGCAGAGAGGAAGTGTTTTCCACACCGGTAGCATAGGGAGGGTGTCTAGAAAATAGCTCCTTGTTGCGAACGTGGGATTTCTGATTCTGTGCCTTCTGTTTAGGCCCTGGCTTACTGTTTGCCCAACTGAAAAACTGCAAAATTATTCATCTCTTATGCCTCGGTTTTATTAGGTGCATTTAATTTGGGATAATAGCACATCTCCCTTCATTGGTTCACTTGATTGATGACTCAAAAACATATCCATTTCTTGTCAATGACATGAGTGAAGTACAGAGACTCTTAAATTGGAAGTGATTTGTTCATTACATTTGGATTAGAGAGTTAATATCCTTCAGCACACTTCATTTCCCGCCCCAGGGCTTTGATGTAATTAAAAGGTCATCCCCCGTATGTTTCTGTGTTGATCACTTCTGTTTCCATTTTATCTTCTCAGAATTTCAAATGTTTTGTTGGAACTGTAGCCATTAGAATAGTAGCCTTGATTCAACTTTTGTAACTAAAACTTTCAGATGTCACATTTCTGATGAGCTCGTTCTTGTACACCTGTGTTTTATATGTTCTGATGATGTTGGGATTTGGTAACATTGAAATCACATGTCCAAAAAAAGGGCAATTTCATAGGAGTCACAAGAGAGTCTCATAGGAGAGTCTCATAGGAGAGCCCAGGGGTCTTGCTTTGGGTCACCTAGAACCAAGCTGACCAACCCACTTCCTTTTTTACAGCTCACGATCCTCCAGGGTCTTCACGGTCTTCACTGTCACAGAGACAGACCCATTTTCTTTCCATAGTCTCGATGTTAGTGGAGAAAAAAACCAGGTTTCTCTTGGTATCTGCCATGCCCCGGATTGTTGACGCTGTGCTACACACTTTACCTGCTTTTAGCTTTCAGAAGCTTTGGGTGTGGGGGTTACTCTTCTGAACCCCTTCCTCCAAATCATGTTGCAAGAACCACAAAGTTGATGGCCATCTAGCCAACAGGGAACAATTTCTCAATAAAAGTATGTTATAAATGTATTTATTTATTTTATAATAAGTCCTACAAATTGAAAGTAGGATTTTCTGGGATACTTTTCTGCCTAAAATCAGTCTTTAAATCAAATATCTTTTTAGCTTCTTACATATGAGATTAAAAGATTACGGTCTCACACCTAGAAGATTATATTGTCATTTCTGAAACCAGGGCTTCTGTAGGTGAACATTTTGTGTCTGAAGAGAAGTTAATTTAAATTAGTGCTGGTATGTCCTTATTGCTGTAGAAGTCCAAAATAGACTCTGCTAGTTTGAAAGCCTTTAAGATTTCAGAATGTATACATTTGCTTGTTCTAATATTATCTCACATTATTTCAGAAATCCTGCCAGAAACCTGTAGACAAATATATCGAGTATGATCCTGTTATCATCTTGATTAATGCTATTTTATGCAAAGCCCAGGCCTACAGACATATTCTTTTCAATACTAAAATAAACGTAAGTTGTAATAATTTTTTATTTTCTAATTTTACTTGATGATGCTTTTGTACTTTTAAAGAATAATAATTTTGAAAAGAATTAAAGAACATTATTTTTTTAAAAATTCTAGAGGCGCCTGGGAGGCTCAGTCAGTGGGGTATCTGCCTTCAGCTCAGGTCATGATCTTGGGGCCCTGGGAACAAGCCCCGTATCGGGCTCCTTGCTCAGTGAGGAGCCTGGTTTTCCCTCTCCCTCTGCTGCTACCCACCCCCCGCCCCCGGTTGTGCTTTCTCTCGCTTGCTCTCCCCCTCTCTGTCGGATAAATAAGTAATATCTTCAAAAAAGAAAAGAAAAAAAAGATGCTAACAACGATGGGTCTTTTATCTCAGCAGTGTCTGGAAGTTTCTAGAAATAACAGGCATTGATAAACACAGTGCACAATGTTTAGTGAATATTTAAGAATAGGGTCACTGGGAGGGAACTGACAAACCAGGGCTACTAGTTTGCCTTTTAGTGGGTTACCTTTTGAAAAAGATGTCAATTATTTCTAACAATACAATTAATATAAAATTATATCTAACATAAAATTAAATATATCCAGGTAGGGAGAGAATTACACCTAGAAGAAGTCAGCAAATGTTAAAAGAGAAATATTTTTAAATAATTTTTTGCATTTTTATTCTACTGAGGGAATCCCTCCCCTCTACCCCCCAAGTTAAATAACCAGGGCAGTTTTTAAACTGCTGGAGCATTGATTCCCAAACTTTGGTACACAGTAGAATTACGTGGGGGAGAGGGAGGGCAGTTAATCTCTCCAAGTGAGGCCTCACCTAGAATCACTTAAATCAGAATCTTTAGGGATAGGTTCAGGCATCAGTATTTCTTAAAACTTCCCAGGTAATTCCAGGGTGGAACCAACTAGAAGAAGCTCAGAAATCCACAGTGATACCTGTTCCTGGACTACATTGCATTTATACACACACACTTTCTTTTCCCCACTTTCTATAGATATAGACAGTCCAACCCATAAGAGTAATGTATTTTTTTATTTTTAATTTTTTTTTAAAGATTTTCTTTATTAGAGAGAGAGAGCACATGCACTGGGGGTAGGAGCTGAGCGCAGAGCCTGATGCAGGGCTTAGATCCCAGGACCCTGAATTCATGACCTGAGATGAAACCATGAGTCCAACACCCAACCAACTGAGCTGTCCAGGTACCCAGTAGAGCAGTGTATTTTAAAAAGCCAATTCTTGGGGCGCCTGGGTGGCTCAGTCAGTTAAGCATGTGCCTTCAGCTCAGGTCATGATTACAGGGTCCTGGGATGGAGCCCCACATAGGGCTCCTGGCTCAGTGGAGAGCCTGCTTCTCCCTCTCCTCCCAGCTTGCTCTATCTCTCCCTATCTCTGTCTCTCTCTCTTTCAAATAAATAAATAAAATCTAAAATAAAATAAAATATTAAAACAAAAAGCCAGTTCTTGGGATTCCTGGAGAGCAGTGTCTGGAAGTTGGCTCAGTTGGCTAAGTGTCTGCCTCCTCATTTCCGCTCAGGTCTTGATCTCAGGGTTGTGAGTCTGACCCCCACGCTTGGGCTTCATGCTGAGCGTGGAGCCTGTCTAAAAAGAATTTTTTAAAAAAGCTGATTCTTGGTACCTGGTATTTTCTTTTTTGCCAAAATTTCAGCCTTTTAAACTTGCAGGGGACTTTCTACCTTTTAATTTCTGTCTTCAATATATGAATTCATACTCATCGGGCATAGGGCCTTTTTTTTTTTTTTTAATTTATGTCCAGACTAATAGCTTCCTGTGAAGTATGTTGGAATCTTCAGGTTAAATCTGTTCTCATGGCTGCTTCCACCTATCTATGAGGCACAGAAATTCTGTGCCTGATTCTGTTCTCATTCAGGACAGACGCTAAAAGCATAGTGAAGGGTGAAGTACTATTTAAAGCAGTGTTTCTTAACTAGGGGTGTACATCAGAATCCTCCTTACCCCTAGAACTGTTTCAAAATTGTATGTCTAGGATTACTTCCAAAGATTCCGGGTCAGGATTGGGGCCTAGACCTTCGCAGTCCGAATAATCTTCCTGTGATTCTGATGGGCGTTGCTGACAAAGCAGCCCCGGTTTACAGACGACACAATGACCCCCTTAACTGAGCAATTCTGAATTTGAAGAGCTATGCAATGGGAGCCTCTTCCGAACCGCAGATACTTAGCTGTGTCTGTGCCTGTTTAATATTCCGTATAATTGTTTCTTTACCCTGTGATTGGCATTGTGTTTTTGACTCCCAGATGCATTGGAAGCTCTGCATATTCTGTTTGCTTTGTGAGGCGTACCTGAGATGGTGGCGGCTTCAAGATTCAAACCAGAACACTGACCCTAACGACTTCATCAGATATGCCAAGGAATGGGATTTCTATAGAATGTTCGCGATTGCCTCTCTAGGTAGGAGGAAGCCGTGCTTTCCATTCTTAGTGAACTAGTAACTGCTGTTCTGAATAAAAGTGAGGTGGGTGGTCTTGATCACTGGTAAGAGGAGGAGGTTAATCCAGGACTTGAGGCTAAATGTTCAGTTGTGTCACCAGCTGCTCGGTCAGTCTGTCTAAATTAGCTACTTTCTTACTATTTTGTTTGTTACTACGCATATGTTATGGAAATGGTTATATATAGCAGGTGAGAGAGTTTCATAGAATATCTTGAGGCATTATATTGTTGGTAAAATTCCTCAATTTAATTTCTCGATTGTCTAATTTAAAGATTACATAGGTCCCATCTTTATGAAAACAGATGGATAATTGCCAGGCATTATCCAATGTATTATGCTAATTGTATAGAACTGATGCGACTAGGGAACACTTCTTATTTATCTGACTCCGTTCAGGGAAAGTGGCTACTGGGGGCGCCTGCGTGGCTCCGTGGTTAGGCATCTGCCTTCGGCCCAGGTCATGATCTCCAGGTCCTGGTTCAAGCCCTGCCTCGGGCTCCCTGCTTAGCTGGGAGCCTGCTTCTCCCTCTCCCTCTGTCTGCTGCTCCCCTTGCTTGTGCTCTCACTGTCAAATAAATAAATAAAATCTTTAAAAGAAAAAAAGAAAGAAAAATGAAAGAAAATGGCTACTGCCTCCAAATTCCTTAAGTTCCAGAATTACTTTTCTTCAGAATTCAAATTTATGACTTAGGTCAGAATTGTCTTAATTTCTGTGACTATATTTTTACTTACTGGCTTCCATGCTTCTCCGCTTCTAAACTCTTTGATTATAAAGAAATATTATTATAATAATATCGAGTCTCCAGTTCACTGCAGTGTCAGATTTCTGGACTAGGTCATCTTTTGTCCCATTTTCTTCTCTGTCTGCCCTTACTCCCTTGGTCTCCTCATGCAGTTCTGAGGTTTTAAAATTTGAGTGCTGGGGCACCTGGTGGCTCATTCGGCAGAGCACGTGACCCTTGATCTTGGGGCCGTGAGTTTGAGCTCCATGTTGGGTGTAGAGATTGCTTAAAAATAAAATCTTTTAAAAAATAAATAAATAAAATCTGTATGCTAAGGATTCCCAAACATCCATAATAATATTAAAAACACCCTTGAGGGGCGCCTCAGTAGCTCAGTCGGTTAAGTGTCTGTCTGTGTAGCCCCATATCAGGCTCCCTGCTCGGCGGGGTGTCTGCTTCTCCCTCTGCCTGCTCCCCCTGCTTGTGCTCACTCTCTTGCTCTCTCTTTTTCAAATAAAGAAATAAAATCTTCAAAAAAAAAATCCTTGAAAACATTGCCTAAGCCAAGAACTAGAGCCTAATATAATTTTAAGCTTTAAAGCAAAGGCTATGAAAATTTCTAAGGATAAACCCTTTTATGTCCATAATTTTTAATATATAAAATAAACCAGGCTTATTCCCCAAATTTGGAATTACTGTAGCACCTACTCTATAGCGGATATTTTGACACTCAATTAGAAATAGTTTTCTACTGTTACTTAACTTTTTTATCCAATATTAAGTTTTGAACCCCTAAAATAGCTTATAGAAAATGTGTTCTATAAATACATCTTATCACATAAACACTGCTTTTATAGTTTGATCAACTTAATGTGCACAGTCATCCTACCTTTGGTAGATAGGTTGGGGTTCTCCCCTGTGTACATCCGTGGAAGCAGCGAAGTAGGAAGGCAGGTGATTTCCTCAAAGTCCCATAGCAGGTTAATGTCAGCACGGAGACGGGTGGCTGTCTGCGCTCCCCACGCGGTGTTTTCCCGTGCCGCACCCCGTAGGCAGGTAGCTGGTTCCGCTGAGCCCGTCGGATCCACGAACGCCTCAGGAACAGAGGCTGCAAGATACCTGCCTTGTGAAAGACAGTGCAGAGCCCAAGGGCTGGTGCGGGTACATAAACCTCTCGAGTTCTGAGTTAGAAAGATACGGAGGGGGGCGCCTGGGTGGCTTAGTCAATTAAGCACCTGCCTTTAGCTCAGGTCATGATCCCCGGGTCCTGGGATGGAGCCGCATCCAGCTCCCTGCTCAGTAGGGAGTCTGCTCCACCCTCTCCCCTTCCCTAGGCTCCTTCCCAGGCTTGTGCTCTCTCTCGTGCTCTCTCTCGCGCTCTCTCTCTCCCAAATGAATAAATAAAATCTTAAGAAAAGAAAGAAAGAAAGATGGGAAGGTTATCTGGTCCACCTCTCTGTCCAGTACAGGAAATCCTTTTCTCAGTTCTGCAAGGTAGTCTAGCTTTGTTTGAATGTCTCCGGTGACAGGAGACAACCCACTATTGTTAGATCATTCTTGTTGTTAAGGAGTTCTTTGTTGCTTTTATTAAAGTTATTTTTATCCAAATCTCAGGCTATAATTTGCGCCTATTTAAGCAGATCCTTGCAGTTGTCCTAGAGTTATTTCGCAGGGAGATGGGGTGTCTCCCCTGAGGGATATATCAAATGGCTTGTAGGCCAGCCATCCAGAGTTATTTTTATTGATTCTAATCACCTATGCTTGGAACCTTTTTAGTTTGGCTCTCTTTGGTTAGACAACATATTAGGAAGAATACAGTTGTCTCTCCTATAATTTGATACATGTGTTCCAGAAAAACCTGATTCTACAGAAACCTGAATAACACAGTTTAGGGGGAAAAACAGAATTAGGGACAGACCCCTCAAAACATACCCAGCTGGGTAATCAGAGGAACTAACAATCTTAATAAACATCACATAACAGCGAAGAACTGCCAGATTCCTAGTTAGTAGGAACAGAACACAGTGCTCTGTTCCGTGGACCCCGTGGAACTGTGGCTTCAGGTCTGGACTTGGTCTATGAATGCTTCGTGGAAGGATAAGGAATTGCACTCAGAAAGTTTGTGGAAAGGAGTAAGGGCAGTTTTAAATGGAGGTAATGGTATTCAGAATTGGCAAGTAATAGGCAACAAATAGTGGGAGACTGAACAAAGAAAACATCTTCGCGTGTAATTTTTAGGGTGGGTCCCATCTTTCGGATTTAAAAATCTCCTCCGTGTCCTTTCATTCTTTCCGTGGAGATCTAGAACACCAAAGTTGTCTAAACAGAACCTTACTACCTAGAAGGAACTTCAGAGAGCTGATGGTTACCGTTCTCACAGACTTACTTTGACTTCCGGGGACCCTGAAATACTTCATGGAAGACTTGCTGGAATGGGCTTCTGCAGTCACACCAGCAGGATGTGACACAAAAGGCAGGGGCTTATTTATTTAAAAAAAAAAAAAGAGGGAGAAAAAATTTTGACCTTGATGAAGCAGTTCAAATGAAGGCAGCTGGAAATGTGGTTTCTTTGTTTCTGGAGAAAGATGGTTTGGATAGAGACATTCATATTTCTGTTTTCCATTTCCTTCTTAGAACAAACTGCCTTTTTTATTGGCATTTTTGCTTTCCTGTGGGTAGAACGACGGATGACAGGGAAAACCAAACCCAACTTCATTTTGCTGCTGAAAGCGTTATTACTATCCAGCTATGGAAAACTCTTGCTGATTCCAGCCGTCATCTGGGAGCACGACTACACACCCCTGTGCCTCCGGCTCATTAAAGTGTTTGTCCTTACATCAAATTTTCAGGCCATCAGAGGTATGTCTGTCTTTCATTCTGTCTTCTCAGCCTTCAACCCACATATAAGCTTAAAGCCTTGTTTCTCCAACACCATCTTAGAAACCCTGCTAAACACTGGAATTCTCCATAAATCCTAATGATGCCTGGCATTTCTCTAGGACCTCATACACAGCATATAGTCCGCATTTGCTCAAATGAACGACATAGTAATTTTTTGCTTTTGGAATGCTTTCACGTGCTTTAGCTCAGTCCTGGGAGGTTGGCGGCGCTGCTCATCGTGAACTGTGAAACTGAGAAATCTCTGGGTATTTTCTGCTAACCTCTTTGTAACCTTAGAATCTGGTTTTTGTTTTGTTTTGTTTTGTTTTACCTCCTTCCATATTCATGGAAGTCTGCGTCTTGATTTCAGGATGAGAAACTTAATGTTTTTGCTATATGCTGTGTTTCTCTCCAGAAATGAAAACTCGGGGAAGGTAGCAGCAGAGATGAATAAAAATGAATAGAGATTCTCTGAAAAACAGCTTTACAGAACAATTCCATTTACAATGCCACAGAGTTTACATGCCAATAGCACTTAATTAAACTCTTAAGAACTTACAATTTGCCTTTTTTTTTGCAGTGACCCTGAACATCAACCGAAAGCTCTCCTTTCTGGCCATCTTGAGTGGCTTACTGATGGAAAGCACCATGGTCTACTTCTTCCAAAGGATGAAGTGGGATGTGGGAAGTGATTGTGCCATCTATAAACCCGAAGACTTCTGAAGAGGTACAAAAGCCTGTTAATGTTCTCCTGAGGCGTCCTCCTCAGTTGAGACAAACGCTATTATGAAATAAGGAGATGCTGGGCGCCTGGGTGGCTCAGTCAGTTAAGCCACTGTCCTCAGCTCAGGTCATGATCCCGGACTCCCAGGATTGAGTCCCACATCGGGCTCCCTGCTCCCTGCTCAGCGGGGAGTCTGCTTCTCCCTCTGACCCTCCCCCTTCTCATGCTCTCTCTCTCTCATTCTCTCTTTCTCAAATAAATAAAATCCAAAAAAAAAAAAAAAAAAGGCAGTGCCCTTCCATGACCCTCCCCCACCCCCTCGAGGACCGTACAGCACATTTCAGGGTCCTTGTCACCCTCAGGGACATCCACCTCTGTGTTTCATTGCTTCTATAGGGGCCCTGTCCACTTCCCGATAGCTGCACCCCACACCACTCGCACCAGGACCTCTGAGATCTGCTCCCTCCCTTCCACGGTCCTCGATTTGGGCTGCCTTTTCCCCTCCAATCCCTTGACACCCCTTCTGGCCTACCTCGCCTCTCTTTCCTGCACCTGCAAACTCAGGCAACTGCTGATTCTTCACTGATGGTCCCTTGAGACCATCGGCTTCCTGCCCTTTCAGCAGACGTGCCTTCTTAGAGCCATCGGGGTGAGTCTCAGCATCTGTTTTCCCAGAGTCCAGCCCTGCGTGCACACAGAGCCTCAACTGGCCCTCAGTGTTGCTCCTCTGCTTTCGCGGTCACCGCCAGGGAGCCTCCCATTACATGGTTCTGGAACCTTCCCCACGCTCCTTCCTCCCGTGGCTGAGCCCATTATAGACTCCTTGAGCTTCCTTCCTTCTTCAGTCAGAAGTGCTTTGGTCACCTGACTGCTTCCCTCCCCCATCCCTCCGGACTTGCGCTCTCCTTCCTCTCTGTAAGTGCCCTCCCCGCCCTGGTCAGTCAGACTCCTGGCCCGCAGCCTGTCGGCTGTAAGGTCCGGGAGCAGACTCGGGGCCTGGGTTGGTGGGCGCAGGTGGCAAGGAAGGCACAGAAGCAGCAGGGAAACGGGCCAGCTCTGAACCGTGTCCACCTCTGCGTAAAGGCCAGCCCCAGCCCCGTGGCCTCAGTCTCCCCTCACGCTCGGCCGGTGTTCTTCCCTCCCAGACGCCCCAGTCTGTGTCCGGACTGGTCTCCGGCGCTCCTCTTCTCTCCTGCTGTTCACACACTCGGCGGTGGCCGTGTCCAAGGCCTGGACCATTCATTCTCCGGGGCTGAGGCCCCCAGACCCAGCAGCTCCAGCTCGCCCCGCAGCCTGTCACTGCACCCTGCCACGGCCTCCCAGGCAGTGCTTGTGAAGTTGAACTCCGCCTCTCCCCACTCTGCCCACCAAAACACAATCCCTTCCTGGGGCTTTTCTCTGGAAACGTCCCTTCTCCCTCAGACCCCAGGGCAGCCCTTGTCGTCTCCTGCCTAAAGGTTTGTGACCCCCTCACAGCCTTCCACGCAGACACCGGTGCCACAGAACCCTTCAGCCAGCACTTCTGGGGTCCCTTCGGATTTTTCGTCATTCCTTATTGCCGACACAGGAGTTTCTAGTCTCTTCCTGAGGAAGTCTCTGAGCTTTCTCGTCACGCAAGTGTGGTCGCCAGTATTCTGGTCCTACGTTCCTCTCCACAGACATGTTCCCACCCACCTCCACTACGCCCTTCTCTTCATCTCCCCATATGGCTTATGCTCTCCCCGGGCCCTCTTCTCCCCCTAACCAGATACAGTCAGTCCCCTCTGCTTCTCCGTGGAAGGAAAGCTTTTTCCAAAATCTTGAGTCTGTGCTCTCACTCCCACCGACCTGCCCAGCTCAACCCCACAGCCATCGTGTCCAGGATCTCCTGAGTCTGTGCCGGTGCCAGATACGTGGCCCCGACTTCCCCAGGCGCTTCTAGGTGTCAAGCTGCCCATCGTAATTTCCGGTCAGGACAATAAGGGCATCTGTCTCTCACAGCCGTTTGAAAACCATTCTCCTCCTTTATGTTACCTCATGTTCTCTGTCTTCCTTGTCTTGTATTCGAATCCCACATGTTAATGCCTGACTCCCCCAACCTGGTAAACAGAGACCAGGAGGTTACACACAAGGAAATACTTACTTCCCACAGCACAGGTCCTGCCCTAGTAAGGATTTGATGAATTAACTTTGAGCAGAATGTGCCACTCTAAATACTTTTATTATCCGCAGTTGGATTCTTTATTATCTGTGGCGTGACCAGCTGCGTCCGAAAAAGAAAAGACATAAACTACAAACCAAGATCCTCGATGAAGCAAAGATTTGGATACACTTCCTAAAGAAATTGATGGTTGTGGCATCGGAAACCCCCAAAACTATCACGCTTCATGCCTCCCCCCATCTAAGAGACCACCAAACCACATACAGATACACGCAGATGCAGAAACACAGACACAAGAACACTGCCGTAGGGAGACTCGGGCCACACAGACCCCTTCAGGTTGGCATTGACCTAAAGGAGGAACGTGAACACATGACTCGCACATAATAAAAGATCTATGTTTCATTCCTCTGACGTGTTTATATCTCTTTTAATTTAAATGTTATTGGTTCTAAAGAATATATTTAAAATAGTCTTTCGTAAAAAAAAAAAAATAGTCTTTCGTGTTCTTACAACAGAAACATCGTTCTCTTAATAAAGTCAAAACAAACTGAACTTTTGTAAATGTTTTGTAAATTTCTGTATCTTTCCCTGTAACTAACTTATTCTTTAGAAATGGCTGCTCCAAAAATAAATAACTAAAACCAGTGAATTGTACGCTTGATGGGGTGAATTCTATCTCAGTAAAGCCGACACTAGATTCAAGAATAAGGTAGCACTAACGCCTTTTCTCTCTCCCCGTTTGATTCGCTTGTTCTTGTAGTCATCATTTCCGTATTCACGCAGCAGGAATTACTGAGCACCTACTGTGTGCGTCAGACATGGACACTGTGGTGAGCAGCCCTCTTAAGGTCTGTGGAGTAGTGGGGCGCCTGGATGGCTCAGTCGGTTGGGCATCTGACTCTTGATTTCGGCTCATGTTGTGATCCAGGCCCTGCACTGGGCTCCATGCTGGGCGTGGAGCCTGCTGAAGATTCTCTCCCTCTTCATCTGCCCCTTTCCCCCACATTCGCTCACTCTCTTTTCTCTCTCTCTCCCTCTCTCCCCCACCTAAAATAAATCAATCTTTTTTTTAAAAGTTTACAGAGCAGTGATAGATTTGGAAATGTGAGAAGGTGATGGCAGTACGGGGTGATAAGTGCTGTGAAGGGTAACGGGGGGAGATGCAGAGCAGAGACGCCTGTTCCCCTCCTAGAAGTCCAGAAGGTCCTCCGGCAGGAGGTGGAGAGGAGAGAAACTTTCCAGTATCGCTGGAGGGAGAATAACCATGCACGCCAAGTCTTAGAGGGCAGAGAGTGTCTCGTGTGTGTGCAGGGAACGGAACATCCCACAGGACTAGGTGGCTGGGGTGTGGGCACTGGAAGTGTTAAAAATGGTACCAGGAAGCCACGTGAAGTTGGATAATGAGGGGCCTTGGGGAGTGTAACTTATCCCAAGGATCACGAAACCAACGCAGAATTCTAGAAAGAAGGATCCAAAGTAAAAAAAAAAAAAAAAAGCCAACTGCAATGACATCGCAGAATAGCCACAGGATGAAGCCCGTAAATGGAAAGGAAAGAGGGAGTGAAACATGGTTTAAAGGAGTCCAATCAAAAAGAAAAAGTCCACTGAAAAACAAGTATTGGAAAAATGACAGTGTGATACACTGATCACAACTCCTCCAATCTTTGACCTGTCAAGCCAGGTGAGTGAAGATAAACGCATCACCAATTTTTTTTAAATTTATTTTTTTAATTTATTTTATAAGTAGGCTCCACGACCAGCGTCGAGCCCAAGGCAGGGCTTGAGGTCACGACCCTGAGATCGTGACCTGAGCTGAGATCAAGAGTCGGATGCTCAACCAATGGAGTCCCCCAGATCCCCCCCATACCACTGATTTATTAATCCATACACAATACAACCCAGTCTTTCTTGAGCACCTTAAAAGTATCTGCTAATTTTTTTTTTTTTAAACAAGTATTAGAAACCCCTTTCCTTGGTATCTGTGAGCATGAGTCAGCTAAAGGCTGTGCCAGGTATGGCAGAGGACTATGGAGGAGACCCATCTCTCTGATCCAGCTCTGATCTTAGAGCCCATTTGGCAAGCTGTCTATTGTATGAGGGTAGGACTCCAGGAACCAGAGCAGAGGGTGCATTGGGCAAATGATTAGTTGTCCACCCAAGATTAGTTCTCCACACTCCACCCAACAAAGTTCATCTTTTCCTACATATTTTTCAACATTTGTTTATGAAAAATTTCAAAGATAACAAAAAAAGTTGCAAGGATTCTACAGTGAAAACCCATACACCGACCACCTCCATTTAACAGTTGTGACGTTTTCCCCTGACTTATTTTTAAGATTTCTTTAAATAATGATTCTTGGGGCAGCAGAATTGCTCAGTTAGCTAGACTGGGAGGTTAGAAGAGAGCAGTGGTGCTCGGTGTTTTAGAAAGAGGTCTATGATTTCCAGCTCCCCGTCCTGTGCAGAATGGAGATGTGGTCTAACAAGTGTAAAAGGCATTTCTATGAAAATCCACTGGAAGCTATAAAAATTAAGTCACTTGCAGGGGTGCCTCCGTGGCTCAGTCGGTTAAATGTCAGACCCTTGGTTTTGGGTCAGGTCATGGGATCGAGCCCCAAGTGGGGCTCTGTGCTCAGCGGGGAGTCTGTTTGAGATTCTCTCTCTGCCCCTCCCCTCCCCTCAAATAAATACATAAATCTTTTAAAAAATTAAATCACTTTCAGATATCCCCACTTTGACTGAAAAGCATGTGTTCAAGGGATCATGGAAGACCTGCCTCATACAATCTGATCCGTGATGGCCACACAGTGGCTACGCTCACAGAGCCCACTGCTGTCCCTGGAGTTTTCGGTACCGCCCAGAACCAGAGGAGAGAAAGTGCCCAGTTTGTGAGAGCACAATATGGACTAATAAGGCACATGGAAAATAGACAAGTGGTCTTTGATCAAATGACTTTTTTTTAAAAGATTTCATTTATTTGACAGGGCGCCTGGGTGGCTCAGTGGGTTAAGCCTCTGCCTTCGGTTCAGGTCATGGTCTCGGGGTCCTGGGATCGAGCCCCACATCGGGCTCTCTGCTCGGCGGGGAGCCTGCTTCCCCCTCTCTTTCTGCCTGCTGCTGTGCCTACTTGTGATCTCTCTCTCTCTGTCAAATAAATAAATAAAATCGTTTAAAAATATTTTTAAAAAGGTTTTATTTATTTGACAGAGAGAGACACAGCAAGAGAGGGAACACAAGCAAGGGGAGGGGGAGAGGGAGAAGCAGGCTTCCCACTGAGCAGGGAGCCCGATGCAGGGTTCAATCCTAGGACCCTGGGATCATGACCTGAGATGAAGGCAGACACTTCTAGGAGCCCCTGGTCAGGAGATTTCTATCAGAGTGGTTTGAAGCCCTCTGAACCAAGTTAGGACAAAAACATTACAGTGTATGTAAGAGCCATAGGTACTTTTTTTTTTTTAGATATTTATAAAACAAGAAGGCATCACTCAGAAAAGTTACTTTTTAAATCACAGTCTTATATGAAGAAATTAAAGCTTGGACTGGTAAAGGGATTTGCTTAAGGTCACACAAGCACTTGGTGACAGAATTGCGATTAAAACCTTGGCCTCCACTCCCAGTCTAATGGAGCGGGGGTGGAGTGAGAGGGGCGAGTGGGCAGAGGTTGGGTCTGTCCTGCTCTCCACCCTCACTTAACGCTGCAGCCCTGGGTCTACCCCTCTTCTCTTGTTGAGAAAAGAGCAATTTACTGTTCTTCAAATACAGTTAGGAGTAGAGAAAAGAGACTTTTGTTGTTGGCTTTTTTAAATACAGAGCTCACATGAACAGGACTAGATTTAAATATTAGTCCTTTGTGTCCGCGGAAGAAGCTGTAGAAAGAAATGAGCATTTCACAGTAGCCTTTTCTCAGGGGAACAGCTGTGAGCCTCGAAGCTTGGGTTTTCTCTTCCTGATATCTCACACATCTAGCCATAACCCTTCATTATAAAATTGGGAACACATTCTCAAGGGAGATGTTATTAACCTAGGACTAAATTTAAAATGTTCTCTGGCTCCCGAAGAGTCAACAGAGGAAAAGCACTACAAAAGCAAGAACCCCAGGACCCCAAACAGGATTCTGTTTATTTATTCCTATTGGACAAATATTTATACAGACCGAGAGATCAGCACTATATGCGATTTCTCTAGGACTTACTCTATATGTATTATGTGTATATATGTTTACTTCGAACCTGGCACTATTTTAGGGGCTTTGTAAGTAACAAGTCATCTTATCCTTATATCAACCCTGGAAGGTGCCCGTCAGTGAAACTGGCTCCAGGAGCCAGCCCATCAGGAAGTGTATCTAAATACGTGGGAAGGGTGAGCCCAGTGTGTTCAGCCAGTGGACCGAATGGTGATGTCCCAGAATGACACAGAGAACAAGCAAAGGCAGGAAGAGAACCACTGTGCCCAGAAATTTGTGGTAGTTTCCTGCAGTGGTTGCAACAAATTAAGCTTGGTGGCTTAAAACAACACATTTATTCTCCCACAAATCTAGAGGCACAAAGTCCAGAAGCAGTTCCACTGGGTTCTAACCAAGGTGTTGGCAGGACCATGCTCCCTCTAGAGGCTCAAGGCGGAGAAGACATTCCTTGCCTCCCAGCTTTAGGGGGGCTGCTGCCCTCCCAAGACTTGTGGCCACGTCTCTCCCCTCTCCCTGTGAGATCGACATCACCTCCTCCTCTAGGTGTCAAATCTCCTTCTGCTTCTCTCTTCTAAGGACACTTGTGACAGCATTTAGTCCCACCGGATGATCAAGGATAATGGGGGAATCTCAAGATCCTTAACCTCATCACCTTTTTTATAAAAGGCCTTTTCAAAATTAAGTAATATTTACAAGCTCCAGAGATGCTATCTTCAGACAAGATGTTTTGGGGGGCCAGTTTTCAGCCGACCACAAAATCACCTGTCAAAGAGCAGACCCTTCCACCCAACCCATGCGCCCACGCACATCTTCATACACTCACCAGCCCAAATTTGGACAGGACCCTTCTGGGAAGCATAATCCTTTATCTGCAGCTTCATCAAAGGGAAAGCAGACATCAGAGCCCTATGAGAAACTCTGAAA